GGGCTCCGGTCCGGGTCGGGAACCAGATGAAATATCTGGGACTCGTCCTGGGCAGCCACTGGCAGTTTGGGCCCCATTTCGCCCAGTTGTTCCCTCGGGCTTGGGGGGTGACTTGCGCCCTGGCGCGGTTGCTCCCCAACCTTGGGGGTGTGGCTGGGCGGGTACGGCGGCTGTACGCGGGGGTGGTGCGGAGTATCGTCATGTACGGCGCGCCCATCTTCGCCGACGACCTGGTGGCGGACAAGCCTACCCGGCGCCTTTTGGGCCGGTTGCACAGGTTGTCCGCCATCAGGATCGTGAGGGGATACCGCACCCTCTCGGGTGCAGCGGCGGCAGTCCTGGCGGGGTTCCCGCCCTTTGACCTTCAGGCCGTCGCCCTACGAGATATTTATCTCCGGGCGAGGTCTGGGGCTGGGGGCGGGGGTACCGGCGGGGAATGAGACCCGGACACCCTGGGGTCCGTATGGAACCCCAGGGACCAGGTCTGGCGGCGCGTGTGGGAGCGCTGGCGACTCCGTCTTTCAGACGAGGAGTTGGCCTCCCACCGCGTCGTTGGGGCTGTCTTGCCGAGCTGGGAGGCTTGGCGGGACAGCGGTGGAGTGCCTCTCACCTTCCGCGTGACACAGGTGCTGTCCGGGCATGGCTGCTTCGGGGAGTACCTGTGCCGCATCAAGCGGGAGCGTGATGCCCGATGCTGGCACTGTGACGGGGACCGGGACACGGCGCAGCACACGCTGGAATTTTGTCCAGCGTGGGCTTCCGAGCGCCGGATCCTGGTCCGCGCCATAGGGGGGGACCTCTCTCCAGCAGCGCTCATTAGGGCCCTGCTGGGGGGAGGTCAAAAATGGGAGGCCGTCGCCTCCTTCTGTGAGCATGTTATGCGGCAGAAGGAGGCGGCGGAGACGGAAAGGGAGCGGGACTCCCATCCGTCTCGATTGGGTAGGGGGAGGGGTCGGCAGCGTCACCGGGCGAGAAGTCCGGGACCGCCGGCCCTCCCATCTTAAGATTCTGGCCGCCGGGCCCGGGGTTCCGGAACCCACGGAACCGGCGTGCCAGAGGGCTCAAGTCGCCTCTAGTTGGGGCTAGAGGCGACTCTTGCACGGGTCCTGGGGAGGGAAGGACGCAGTCGGAGTGTACACGCTGCGTCCCGTGATCCGCGGGGGTC